TTAATGTAATATATGCATTAGACTATATGTTAATCACCTTATAAACATTTTTATAGTACAAAATGGTGGTTTTTATTTTACAAAAGAAGTTTTATCACTATAGTGAGATATACTTCCCAAAAATTATACAATTATATAAGTATTTTAAAATATAATCTTTCTGTGGACTTAACAATTTTAAAAATCAGAATTTAAATAAATGTATTTTAATTACAAGTAATGAGAGGAGTGGGTATGTTTAGAGATTTACCCTGTAGATAATACATTAATTAATACCTATTATTATACAGTGAAAAGATTCAGAAATATATAGATACACGCTCAAAAAAATCATGTACACAATAAGCTTCGTTGTGCAAGAAAAGTTATGATGATATGAATTCAGTAGTTTTTTAATAGCGCATAAACAAAATATATTTTGACGCAGTTCATGTTGCTCTTTTAATTATTTATTTGGAGAAGGCATTACAGATAGTCTAATTGTCTATCGAATTAAATTTTTTAACTTTGGCCCAATAGAAATAGCAGAGTATCTGTTGCATTCAGTACACTGTTATACTTACTTTGTGGTAGTATTACGTTATTATATAGTTGTAAAGTAATATACGTCTGCCCTATATATGACGGGGCACAATCGTTATTATCTTTTAAAAGGTTCACTTGAAAGACCCAAAAATCGATGCTCTGGTCGTCGGTTGTTCAATCGATGCATAAACCATTAATGTATTTATTTATTTATTTATATATAAATGTATAAATATACGAATGTTATACAATATACATTTATAAGTGTATATAAGATATATATATATATACATAAATACCTATATACATTTATTTATATAGATATATATATTTTAGAAATCAATCGGTTTGAGTCAACAGTCGTGTATTATGTATATAGGTACACAGGATAATAATTATTACCAAACGGTAGCGCTCGGGCTCTCGCGTTCAAGGAAACACTGGTGATGCCTTGGGGCGCTTGTTCACCTCAATTAACCACTAATGTATTAAAAAATTCAAAAGAGTCGCGGTGAAAAGGAAACACACAATAATAAAAGTAACGAGCACCGGGACAAAAGTGGCGATGAACGACAAAGAAATTAGGGTTTTCCAAAGAAGGAATATGTAATTTTTCACGAGTCACACTCAGCGGCTTTCTATATAATATATCTACATAGCCGGGCACTGTTACCAGTGTTGCACTGCCAGCACATAAATATGCGTAAAACATCGTCTCGATGCAACGACGAGTGTTCGAGGGGGCGTTAAAGTCACCGAGTCAATGCTATCAAACAACGGCGTTGCACAGTACCGTCGATGAACGATGACAGAAAATCGATCAATAAAAAACAATATATTATTTTAATATTATGTATGATATAAAATTTCGTTACTTTGTGTCGACTGTCGCCTTCCTTTTATCGATAAACGAAGGTGAAACCGAACGGTCGTCACAAGTGTTGTAGCACAGGCAATCGTCTCCGAGTTCGAGTACCATAATGTCACTAATTTATTGCCATTTAATAGTCGTGTGCTCATGCGTCATTGTATTTTTGTATGCTGTACATGGCATCAGTGTGTTCACACAGGTGAAAATGAAATTTTCTTTTCAAACTAAATTAATTAAATAACAATAAAACAATAATAATAATAATAGAAAAAAATATACTATACTATCGTTACGTGATCGATATTTTTACTTTCATGTTATAGCGACAACAATACCACATATTTATCCTTATATACTTAATATTATATTATATGTAGATCTAACAAATGTGTTGTACTGAAACTCATGAAGTGATTAAACTTGTAACCTATTGGTTGGGTATACGGGTATATAGGAATATTTCCCCGCCACCAAGTACCGTATCATATTTTAATTCGTAGAATAATGTTATTGTTATCCGTTACATTAAATTGTGAAGTCTCTAAACAGTATATGTGTGTACTATGTACACATAAAATCAACTATATTTTATACTATGTGAAATTTAAATAGTCTATAAAATTAAAGCAAGTAAATTATAATAGCTTATAATTTATAATAGTTAATGGAGATCAAAATATTATTAGATTTTAATGTAGTCTACCTAAGTATGCATTAAATCAATATGAATTTCAAATGATTATGTTGTGTTGAAATATTAAAAATCAACAATGCTTTAACATTTACAATGTGCAGTAAATTAAACAATAATACAACATCAATATAAATAAATAAGTAGCAAAATTATGATTATAAGTACATTAGGTACTTATATAAAAAATGAAAACTAAAAATAATTTTTAATACTGATTTCATTAAACATATAATACATTTAATTTTGTTTGTAACGTTATAGGATACTACATGCATATTATCTGTTACACACAGTTTAATCCATCGCATAGAATGTCGGTTATTTATGAAAAAAAAAATAGGTAAATAGATAACACTATTCCGTGACGTACATTTTTTAGTGGTATTCTAGAAATCTTCCACTTTCGGTCCTTGATTACATAAACAGATTATTACTACATGTTATAATACAATTATATTATATTGTGTTGAAAAAAAAAATTACTGAAATTTATATACGGTATTGAAGAAGGAATGAAAATGTACGGAGTCTATGAAAATGTGTTAATTATTCTAAGGAAATCGTAATAATATTTGATCGCGTTCCATAGAAAGCGTCTTTAAATACAATATAGATAATACATTTTATAGAGGTAATTTTTCCACCCATAATTTTTTCAACGTACAATAATTTGTTAATAATTATATACCTATTGCAGTGAACCTCTTATGTAGTGTAGTGTACCGATAGACGTAGTTTATTGAAAAAGTCACGCACGATAATACATTTTCAAAGCAAATTTAACGGAATTGAATTAGTCGACACATTTTCTACTAGATATTGATTAGGTATATATTATTATGTAAGCAGGATATGATCTGTTGAAATTTCAGAGAAAATATATTAGTAATTATTTGTACAATTATATCTGTCCAGTAAAATGTATACTTTAGCACGAGTGAATTTTGTAGTAAGTATTTAACAACGAAACGGTAACGGAAGTCAATATACAGTTGGTCAAATATTATTAGTCATTATAAATAGTTTTTCGTTTTAAGATCTACGAGAAAGTGAATTTTATGTCCGTCAATATTCTTATCATTTATTTACTATTGAAGGTATCATTAGCGTATTTATTGTAAACAAATAATTTATAAAGTACCGTTATTCAATATAGTATATACAATAATATTATAATCAATGTTAAAATAGCGATGGATAAACGCATAACTGTAGTCCTCTAATGAGTAAATAAACAGATTTTTAAAAAAATTGAAAAAAAATTTTCGAAATCCACAAGCTATAACTGCTGAGACTTTAGATTTGTACTAGACGCTGTGCCGAGTTAGGTCTAAGAAATAATTTATGTAGTTGAAACCCTTGCACGAAGATACGATGAATGACTACCGGTTCAGGATAAGAGGGTGGAGGAAAAATACATAAAAAAATATTTTTTTTTCATTAAATACCAATAAAAGATAATAATATACATAATCATATATAATATTCAATTTAATTAAACTCAACCATTGCAGGTGGATATATTTTTTTCACTAACAACGCTCGATTTCTTTTTGGAACCTTTTTACTTTTTAGATAGTTAGGATAGTTTTTATATATATCATTATAGTCTAATCGGACAATTTTTTTTTACTTCTCTGCAATTCAACAATAGTAGGAATAGGAATTTGATGAGCAATATATCTATGGTAAATATTGTAGAACCTATTTAACTGCCGTCACACCTATCAACATACTTAACACTAAAAATAATATGTACTTATATAATTTATTGTGAATATTACACTCAAAAAATGAAAATAAATAATACTTGCTCGTTCATTATGTGCCATTTTTCAAACATTTTCAACATACATATTTTACGGCATATGTGTAACAACTATAACCAAAACCCTATATAGTAATACATTATTATTACTATTATTTAATAACGTTTTTTATTATACTTACACAGCTGAGTTGTTCGTCTGATTCACGATCGCGCGGTTATAACCACGTGAAAACATAATATTTGATAGAACTTACCGTCGTTCAAAGCGAACGAGCTAGTTGGAACATAATAATAAAGTCGCTCACATCTCAGCTGTAAATCATATTATAATATCTACCCATGAAACAATAAGGTATATCGTCAAACCATTAACCTTATATGCTAATTGTTTGACACGACGTGAGAAATGGCTGCAAAGCGCGTTACTCTATTTACTTGACATTATAGGATATGTGTATTAAGTCGAATTCATTGCACCAGAGACGGATAACGTTTGCAGGCTGTATAGGTACACATATTTATATATACCCGAAGCCATAAAAATAATTTCATGACTTCCTATTGAAACGTACCGAGTAACGCGTTTCTCTTCTAAGATATTTCGTATATACAAAGTCAATTATCAAAATCAAACAATAAATTCATACCTCGTATGACATACAAAACGTGTGTGCTGCTTTTATGTGTGACCAACCTGCAACCGCTCACTTCGGTCCATTGTCTTATTATTATTATATTATATACATATTTTTTTTTGGAACAACAAAACAAATATAACCGTAGGTAGGTGTACACATCTGCATACGTCGGAAAAACAAAGGACTATAAACACACATTTTTGAACTCATAGTAATTGATTTTATATATTATTATATTATTATTATCATCAAATGCGTGTATTTTATATTTACAATGACACATTTTTGTTTAAATTTTGGCATGTAACGTAATTCTATATATTATTATAATAGTATTATGTTAATAAATCGATGACTTATTCAAACTTAAAAAAAAAATAATTTATCATATTATTATATATTAACTCTTAGAGTTTACAGGTAATAATCTAATTATTTTTGTGTTTGAAAAAAATCAGCCACAATGGCTAAACACGAGCCGGTAACTTTTCGTCAGATGCCTTTTTCGTGGTAATAATATTGGGTTAAAGATATAAGTCTTTTTTCGAGAAATCTAAAGACTAATATGGCAAAAAGTTACTCGGCTATCGGAGAGCAACAATAATCTAATACCGAGTGTTGCGTGCGCATCTACGTCGTGAGCCTGCATACTGTGTATGTGGACTCCCGGCGATGGAGACGTTCGCATAATAATATTATAATTATAACATGCAGATGTCACACCGTCCGATTTGAATCTAATAAATACTATTGGGACTACAAAAATAGTAAAAAAAAAAAAAATAATAATAATAATAAAAAGGATTACACGGTTATGCGTATATAGTCGTTATAAATAATATTAAAACTCATCGGTCCTATTGAGAGAGAGAGAAAAATTTTTTTTTTTGGAAACTGCGATTTGCAGTGTCGTTAAAATGAAATATGGTAGTATTACGCGACGGTCTGTGCGGACGGTTGAACTTGACCGTTGTACGCCATCTGTTGAGCCTCTTGCATGCTACGTCTGTAGTAACCACCGTTGGTGCTGGGGGCTGCGGACGCTGCCCACGGGGCAGCCTGAACATTACCGGCACTCCATGTGTCTGCGATCTTGCCGAAACCACCGGAGGTACCAGCATACTTCTGGAACGCCATCACTCCGGCGATGAGAAGGGCCAACTTGCCGAATACCAAAGCCTTGAGTGCGAAGAATCCGATGATTCCCAAAAGGATTGGCAATACAGCGACGAGTTTGACGGCCAGGAATCCCAGGATGGGCATCATCTTCTTCTTGAGTTTTCCACGGCCTGTGATGAACAAGACAAATATTAAAACAAAGAAGACTTTAACGCCACGCGAAAACGAAAACAAAACAACAGCGATAACGTAATTTACTATACTGCGACGATAAGTAATAATATAATACACCATATTGGTACTTGCCTTCTTCGATAGCACGGGACAGCTCTTCGGGGTTAGTTTGCGGGAACTTGAGTTGCAGGGTCCTGGACTGGAGGAATCTGATGGCTGAGTTGACGACCATGTCGGTGACCTTTGACGGCTGTTGTTGCAACTGACCGCGGAGCTCGTCCTCGGTAGGCAGGGCGCGAGAATCCCTCTGCGACGACGACCCTTCATCGGCGTTCTTCATTACGGTAAGACCAGGCAAAACTTGCACGGGACCGGTGGCTCGGGCTGCTCTTTCGAGGGCAGCTGCTGCTTTGACCGCCACGCAGGCTGCTGTATCGGCATCCTTGGCACACTCGTCGGCCATCCTGGCGACCATCGCCCAGTTTCCGTTTCCAGTTGATTCCACATGCGTGTCCTCTTGTTGTAGGTAGTTGCTATCGCCGGGCACGACGACGGCGGCGTTCAAGCAGAATGGCAACAAGGCCAACACGGCGCAACTCGCGAAACGCATTTTATAAAATATTAGTATCGTTGGTTACTGCGCAAGATACGAAACGGTAGCGGCGGTATGAGTTACGATGTATGCGGTAAACGTATTATTTCGTTCTCAGATTTCGGTGACTTGAATGCGGACGGACGAACAGTCGGTGCGATAATGGGGCGAAATGCGGACGGCCGTCCCTATATATCGCCCCGCAGCTGTTTTCGGCCCGGGTCCGCCCCACCAGACGCTCGAGTCAGAGCTCGCGCGCGTTCGCTAGTCGACCACCACCGCGCTGGCGACGATATTATTATTATTATTTTGACGGCGAACGCGAGCCGAGACGCTGTCGACAAGGTAGGGGCAGAGGTGGAGGACCTGGCCCCGGTAGAAAGCGAGTACGCGACCGCGGTTCGTATCGTCGTATACCCTGCACCTACGTCCGCCCGGGTGGTCGGCTTGCCCCTCTCCCCCTCTCCACATGGTATGCTTGGCGATAAAGAAAATTTTTGGAATTCTTTTTTACTCTCATACATCGTAACGTCTTTTTTTTCTAAGTTTTTGGAGGTGAACGACTATACACGCTCGGTGACTGCGTTTTGGGAAACTACTTTTTCCCTAATCTCCGGGTCAACCACTGCGAACGCTCTTGTACACGCACGTGCCGGCAATGGTGATGTAATATTATCGTCTTTGGCGACGTTCGTCACGAAAAATACGTAATATCAAAGCCATACATAATATTTATATAGGTATTCAATCGTTTGAGACATGTGCGCGACAAGAGCTTTGGTCTTCTCCAAGTTAATTAGTTTTTTTAATTGTTTTTTTTTTTTTTTACTGTACTATAAGTAATGGATTTAAGGTGTGCGCTTTTAGTCAAGTGTTTACTTAATAGAAAAAAATGTTAGAAAGTTGATTTAAAATATTTTATCTAATGCGACATAACGAAAATATTTAATGAAGAAAGCCATTATGTACAATGACATTGTAAAATATTATTTTGTTGTTAATATAATTAAATTTTTTTAAATTTGATTCGGTAAGAATTTTTTAAAAAATATTTTGATATTAATAGTGTATATCAGTATAATTTAAGTAAAAAAAAACATTTCATACTCTGTAAAATTACAAAATATAGTGTATTTTAATGTAACATTCTACACGGTATGTAGCTTAAATTAGAATCTATTAGAATCTTAAAATCTTAGTGAAAGAAAGTACACTGTAAATTTTAAATTATTTTTATACTTTCAAGGTAGGATTACATTTAAGCTCTATAATAATTCAAATAAAATGAGAACACGACTATAATGATATGTATAGTATTATGTACACAATTTATGTGTAACTACTTTTTATAAAATGTTTATATATTAGTTATATAATCACACCAAGTTCAAGAATCCAAGTAAAATTTTGAAATTCATTTTTTTATTAGGTACGTAAATATATAGTAATGTTATCTTGTTTTTTCGTTAAAATTAACGCGGATAAGTATAGTTGTGTATTCTATTTTAGCTGATATAAATAATTGTTTACAACATAACGTAATGTTTTAGGTCTAACTGTCTACTTGTTTTAATCTTTTATTATATTTTATATTTAAATAACTAAGAACTTAGCTTGACCACATTTAAGTACCGCTTATAGGGTGAGCAGCATATTTGACAAAATCATTGCACAAATACACAATAAATATAATATTGTGCTTCTTATAAAAATCTGAAGAACTTAAAAAATATTTTAACTAAACGTACATTCGAAAGCAGTACGAATGCAATACCTAAAATTGATTATGTATCTATCTCAATTGAAAGCCAAATTGGCATATGTCAGGAAGGTGTCATGGAAATCAACCTCGTAAAGAATATCGTCTTTGATCTTCTTGGCCTCTAGCCTCTTTACAATCAAATTCATCATCGGCTTATTCATCAATACACGTCTGACGCATTATCCATCAAAAATTATTAGAATAAACTCAGAGTGTGTCAACATATATATATATTTCTTATACAGTCGTCTAAACAAAACAATTACATTATTATATCGAGTAGGGAAAGTCTTGAGAATTGAATATGTGTGTATAATATATATATATATATATATATATATATATATAAATATACATTTATAATATATATAGGCTGAGGTATATGATGGTCGGAAAAAAAATTTAAAACGCCTCGTTCAATATCTATGAATCATGACTGGAATTGTGAAGAGATTTATATAACACGGTCAGGGGGAATCCGGGCAAGCGATATTACATTGTAACACACACACGTGGGCTTATGCGCGTGTGCGTCGGATCTGAATTTAAAACAACTTACACATTCGTATGTACGTACTCGTATGTAGGTACTAATATAATTGTATTACAATACGTAGACCACATTGTATGTGGAACGTACATGTGATTAAAAGCGATATGTGTATATGAATATATATGATTTTAATGTATATGTGACGAAAACCCGAGACATTTTGTACGTATACGCATAATACATTGTAATAAAGCCACTTATAGGCGACTTTTATAGGAGGTATATAGGTCTACAGCATTTGTACTCATATACTATTATAATGAGACAATATATTTCGTTTTTAATCGTCGTGGACGGACGGTGTGGACAACATTCGAAAAATATAATATCATAAATCAGACGAGTGACGACGCCATCGTACGACATCATAGCGATGGGAGTATCAAAATTACGTATGCGCTGTATAAAATATATATAGTAGGACCCAGGCATATAATATCATTACGGACATCCGCCAGTGAAACTCGCGTAGAGGATAGAGAAAAGCACACTAGTAATCCTTGAAACGCCACTGTACATGTTTCTCCGGGCTCGATCGAATCGATGTATGGGTATCCGCGTTTGTAATAATGCATCACGAGACACATTTATAAGAACCGTTTTGGTTTTTCTATCATTATTATTATTTTGCTTTTTTCTCTTTTGTTTTTAGAGATACGTACCTTCTGTTGATCTATGATACGAGGTTTTGCCTTAGCGTAGACACACGTCTGGTAATATTTCTCTACATTAATATGTTGTACTAGGTACCTATGTATATTTTTTGTAACTAGAATAATCATATAATCTAATATCGCGTGTACGGTCGGTGTCGGCAACACTAATAAAATATAATATTAAAAATTATATGAGTGACAACACGAAAGTGCGACATTATCGATGGGAGTATTAAAATTACTTCCTCGCTGTATAAAATATAATATAATGGGACACTACAGGAGTTAGGACCTAAATATTACTGGAATCTGAAAACGTGACGGGAAAATTACGGAGGACGGAGAAAAGCAAGCGAGTTATCCCCTTACAGTCTTCTCCTGGCTCGTTCGAATCGATTATTTGGCACTCGTTTATACTCAAACATTATCACTCTCGTCTTCAATCGTCGTGGATGGACGGTGTGTCCATAACGATGACAAAACATAATAATATATTATAAATCATATGAATGACGACACGATAGTACGGAATTATCGATGGGAATATTAAAATTACGTATGCTTTATATAAAATATGATTTAATAGGGCACTAGGGGTTAAGACCTAAATAGTATAGAAGTCCCGCCAGAGAAAATCTTGGAGGATGGAGAAAAGCACGCGAGTGATCCTTGAAACGCCACCGTACAGTTTTCTCTGTACCCGATCAAACCGAGTATTCGGTGCGCATTTGCGTGCATACATCATGAGACTCTATCGCCGTGGACAGGTAGAATATATATTATCATAATTGAGACTAGTGATGACACGAGTTCTATGGTACGAAATCATCGATGGCAATATTTATACTATACTGTGCCGTATGAAAATATATCTGGTTGGACTAGGTAAATAATAGTGTGGACGTCCCGCTAGAGAAACTCGCGGAGGACGGAGAAAAGCACGCGAGTGATCCTTGAAACGCCACCGTACAGTTTTCTCCGCGATGGAATCGGTCCCCCCGAACGCGTGTAACATTATCATCCTGCATTCATAATATTATAAAACCCGAACTACACATCGCGGCTGTCCACCGAGATTACGTGATATTTACGGACAACCTTGACCTTGTTGTACCTCGGCGATGCGATGCGATGCGTTTCGGCTGCAGTACATATATATATATATATACAACGTATACATAAAATACGCTCGCGAGAATAATGTATTATACGTTATGTTATAACTTGTAATAATAATAATAATAATAATAATAGTGAGTATAAAAAATAATGACCGGATAATGGGATTCGTGCGTTTCTCGACTGCTGCAGGACTGTGGCGGCAGCGTCTTGAGATTTTTTTTCGAATTTCGTTCCGACTTTCGAGTTTTTCGACCAGTTTTTTTTAACTGTACTACCGGATCCAGTTATGCACGTGGGCGTACGGGGAAATTATCATCCACAGCGTTTTTATTATTATTATTATTATTATTATTGTAGGCACACGTGCAGCGTTTATTAAGGATATAGGATTTCGAGGAGGTGTTTCTGGCCTTCGTCATACGAAATCTTCGAACATGCGACATAATTATAATATTGAAATATAATAATTAGAGGTCGGGTCGCACATATTTGACTGTCGCGAAATCATAAAGTCGTCAACAAAGAGACAATGGGATTGGTCTTTTACAACGGCATTAACGACGATCGAAATTACCACTTGTCCCACATTCATACGCGTGTGAACGTAAATATATGTATGTATATATGTGCGTGATGTATGTCCGGATATTCCAAAGGAGTGTTGTTGTGCAGTACACACATATCACAATTTGCACTCAGTTAAAATATCACAACTATCTGCCACACGTTTCTTATTTCGAATAAATAATATATGTTTGGCTCGTTAGAAATTATATTGCTAAATCAAAAAACATATCTGATATTAAATTATATAGTTGCCCGACATTCGATAGTTGCACTTGGTTCATTATTATTATATTTTATAGGAAGTGTATCTACTCTAAAAGCTTATTGAAAATCGTGAGTCTCCAAAAATTATTTTATTTCAATCTCGTCGTTACTTTGTTCGGATGCCTTGTCCTGTAAATATGAGTATTATTAAACAATTATTATCAATGTCAAAATTATAACACTAAACTATCAATAGGTACATTGACTTGTTTGTTACAAAATATATTGGAAAAAAATTAGGACATAGCTGAATGCGGA